CCTGACCAGAGTCTCCAACCAAAAACAAAAGCCAGTTTCAGGAGAAAAAGTTCCAAGCTTGAGCTGCAGATGTATGTGGCTGATTTCTGTTGCACAGAAAAGAGTTGCAGTCCTGAGCCTTGGGAAGTGGTACCTCCCTCCAAGTCAGGTGCATTCCACGCCCCCTGCTGCTTCCCTGCACTCTGGCAGCGTTCAGAGCCCCTTGGGTGTTCTTTGTAAGGGCCATTTGAATCCATAATTCAAACTCAAGTGAATTTTCAATGTGAAAGTAGTAATGCTTGATTTAATTGTATTGCCTTAGGCTTAGCTAGGAGAGGAGAATGCAGATGGGAGGAGAGCATGTACCTCTTCCTCACATGCAATGACATCTGCTGCTAGTAGGAAAATGCCCAGAGTAAATAGCCTTTCCATGCAATTACTCCTGGGCATAAAAATAAAAAAAACACTTTTCCTCGTCAGTCGGCCAGTTTCTTCCACTTGCCTGGAAAGACGCTCTCTGTAATTGGACTACTTGACAGCCTGTCCTGCAATGAACATCAGCTGTCACCAGCATGGTGCGATGAGAAGGGAAGGCTCTGGGGCCAAGCAGAGCATCCAGCACACTCAAATGCAGCCTCCAGGGGGCTCTGAATAAGCCTGAGAGAGAATCAGGTAGATGGTGCTCAGGGGAGCATCCTGAAGGTGGTTCTCAGGGGCCAGCCTGTGTATCAATGTCTGTTTTCACCTGGAGAAGTTATGGGCTATTTCCACACACAAATGTCCTATCCTTGAAAAAAATAGTAACAAGGATGCAGAAAAAAAATAGAAGGATGCATCCAAAATAATGTCATTAAAATCTTTAATCGACATGAACTCATAAAAATCCCAATACTCTCCAAGGTCCCTGGGGTACTCTTCCCCGCACTCACTCAGAGGAGCCATAAGGAAGGCATAGGTCTCCTGTAAGGAGAAAGACAAGCAGCTTCTCTCATTCCCTGTCAGACTGAAGACCCTATAGTACTTTTTTCTTTTTCTTTTTTTTTTTTTTTTTTTTTTTTCAGTACTGGGAATTGAACTCAGGACCTTGGGCTTTCCAGGTAGGTGCATATGTCCTTGAGCTGTATGTCCAGCCCTTCCTACAGTACTTTTATCAGGATCACAAAGCTCACAGGAGCCCTGCTCTCTGAGAACAAGTGTCTCCTGGAAGTGTAGTGCATGAGGGTTAGTTTGGACAACATTAAGCATGTTACATTCCAAAGAGAAAAAATTGTAGTGTGTGAAAGTGAAGAAGTCTACTC